CAGGGCTATCTGGCGTTGACTGCGCCGCGCTACTCATTTGTTGCTGACCCCATCGCCCGTCCGCGATGTAAACTCGCACCGCCCCAGCCCGGCCGGCGGCGTCGACCCTGCGCGCCGCCCTTTGCAGCGAACGCGATGCGCCCGCGTTCGTCGGGTATTCAACGCTATTAGGAAACCCCAGCAATGAAAACGGAGAGATAGGCGCGCGCGCGCGTCGCCGCGCGCGCACGCGCGCGCCGACATCCTTCAACGACATCTGGTTTCGCAAGGACTTCAACATCAAGCACTCTGGAAACATTTGGAAGAGCCAATGGATGGGCTGGTGGGGAGATTGCGCGAGCACTGTGACTTGCGCCGCTCGCATTGCGCCACAGATACCCCCCCTTCGCAAGAAGTCAGACCCCACCCCAAGGCAAGGGTTCTCCGTTTCCCCTCAGGGCGCGCCCATCGTTCACTCCGAATATGAAATCGCATCCCCCAGGCCAAACAGGGCGCCCCTATCATCCTCGCCACGTAAAACTAAGCGCGGCCACTCGTTTATCACGCGCCATCGATTTGCACAAGCCCACCGCCATAACTTAAACAAAGAAAGAACCAGCAAGCACGCGCGCGCGCCTTCGCGAGAGCATGTCGGAATCACATCGAAACCATTGGCGCCGCGAGGGTTGCAACATCGAGGCCCCCGGAAACACATGAATAACATCGCGCGCCAGTGTGGCGCTTGTGACAAGTCTGCGCGCGTGCTCTGGCCACTCTTCAAGAAAACCCAGAGTCTCCAACGTGTTCAACACATGCGACAGAAAGAGCCCCCCGCGCTCATGTCGAAATCATTCGAACGCGCTCGCGCGCGCGTTGAAAGAAAAAAAAAAAAAAAAAAAAAAAAAAAAAAAAACGCGGGCCAGTCGCGCCCGCCAGCCGCACGCGCGCGTCAAAATCTTTCCGCGACCTTCACCGCCGACGCGTGCGCCATCATCGTCATTGGCGTGATCAGCATCGGCGCCGTCGTTGGCCTTGCCGTCGTCATCGTCGCCATCGTCACCGCTGTCGCAACAGCCGACGTCGCGCCCGCCGCTGCCGACGTCGCCGCGTTGCCACGCCCGGCCGAGTCACCGACTCGCACTGAAGTGCCCGCGCGCCTGCGAGACGGGCCCGGGGGCGCCGGTCGGTCGGCGCCACCGCGGCCGCGCTGGTCGCGCCAGACAAGCTGGCCACCCTGCGCGCAAACCTGCGCGCGCTGGCGCGGCCGCGGCGACGCGCCTGTCAGGGCCGATCAGCCACCGCAATCGCCGCCGCATGGGTTTGGCAAACCGAATTGCGGGCGGGCGGGTGGGGCGATAGCGCGAGCACTGGAATTGCCCGCTCCAAGTGTGGCACGGTGAATTCTCGCATCGTATAAGATAAGGATCTGGCAACCACCCGCCCTGAGGTTATTCGTTGTTACTTGCGCCCCATTATTCAGATATTGCCCAGGCCCCTCGGCCGCCCTCAATATGAGTTCGCGCCGCCCCAACCCAGCAGGCATCGGGCCCGCCGCCATCAGTTGCATCGACCATTATGCGCGAACGCCACTTCACCGGACATCTGCAGCAGTTCTTGATGCGCAAAAACTGGGCGATAGACGCGCGCGCGCCGTCGCGCGAGCATCCTGCAATCCCACCGCAGGTTTCGCAAGGATTTCAAAATCGCGCACCCCGAGAACATTTTGATGGCAACGATGGCTTTGCAGCGCCAACTTTCGCGAGCAAGTCGGCGCGCTTGCGAATCATGCAAAGGGGCATCGCGTTCGCCCAACTTAAAGCGCATTGGACTAAGCGGGCCTCTCGCGCCCGCACGTCGAAATCATTCGAACGTCCTTGCGCGCGCGGGGCGGGGCGCGGGGGGCGGGGGGGGGGGCGCGATCGCTCCAGCCACGCCGCGCGGGCCACTCGCGCTCGTCGGCCGCGCGCGCGCCAAAAGTTTTTCAAAACCTGCATGGCCGACGCGTGGAAATTGCCATCGGCGCGGCGAGCATCGGCGCCGTCGGTGGGCTTGCCGCCGTCATCGTTACCATCGCCACTAGCATCGCTAAGATCGTCATCGCGTCTACCGTTGTCGACGACGTCGCCATGATGCCGCGCCCACCCAAGTCGCCGACTCGCACGGGAGCGCCCGCGCGCCAGCGCGTCCTGCGAGACGCGGGCCAGCGCAGCTGCGAGGCGCGCCCGGCAGCCGGCCTCAGAAATGCACCAGCCAGCGTCAAGCACTCACCGCAATCCAAATGGTCCAAGTGGGCGGGCGGGTGGAATGATTGCGCGCGCAGTGGAGTTGTCAACTCCAAGGCATTATCTCAGGATGCCCCGCCCCCCCCCCTCCCACGCAGACTTAGCACGTCGAGTATTCGCAAAGTTTTCCCGTATATGGCTGTGCGCGCCCATCCATCCTAACCCGGAATTCGGCCCATCCCAGGCAGTCTGGTCATCGACGCACCCCCCCACCTCGCCCTCCCCGACAAGAAAAATAAAAAACTACGCGCACGCGCCCTTCAGTTTCCCAAATTCCCCGCGCCCAGCGAAAGCAATCGGCACGCGCGCCCGTTGTCGCGCGCGCATGCTTGGGTCCCTAAAAAACCGTCGATTGCCAACGGTTTTGAAAATAACTGGAAAGGTTTGCAACAGGATTGTTCGAAGCGATACAGTGCGCGCGTTGTTTTCAAATTAATAAGAGCACCATCTCTTCACCAAATCTTGACCCACTGCGACCACGCAGGCCTCTCGTGCGCACGCTGCGCGCGCACTCGTTGATCAAACAGAAGAAATTCCCCAAAAAACTTGCAATCAAAAACGAAGTGCGCACGCGAGCGTCGTCGCGCGCATGCCTGAATATGTCAAGGTCCTCCCGTGCCCAATTGATTTCAAAATCGAATGCCCCGAACACATGCCAGCACATATGGCTTTGCGACATGAGCTATCAAAAGAGTATGCGCGCGCACCCGCTGGAATTTTTCAGGACACCTCTGTTGTGTTCAACTGGCTCATCACATTCGACCGAGTCAGTTTTCCCGCGCGCGCATGCCGAAATCATTCGTACGCCCTTGTGCACGTGCTCGGGGGGGGCACGATCCCTGTCAAATAAGAGAATGCGGGCCATTCGCGCGCGCGCCGGCCGCGCGCGCATGTCGAAACTCTTCAAAAAAATCCAAAACATGTGTATTCAGCTAACACGCTTCGTTCGGAAATGCATACATATATAATCATATATATATGTGTATATGTACCAGTCGCCACTCATCAGTGTGAATGTTGAAACGCCTGATGAAGCGAATGAGCGTGGCACTGGGACTGGAACCGTCATTTCGGAACGGCCCGCCCCAAAGTCGTGAAGGTGCGATCACGATTTAGAATCATGTGTGCGGCGCTGGCGCGAGAACCACACGCAGCCTGCATTCGTGCAAATGTTGTGAATCATACACGTCAGGGCCATATAGCGAAGCACCGGGCCCTCCCTGCAGACATCCTTGATGGTGCGACGAGGGGGGGGCGCCTTATAAGGAGTGTGGATTGAGGACGAGAAGTCGAGGAGCGGAAGAAGAGGAGAAACGAACAAACAGTAGGCCGAGGAAGAACATCATGAGACAAGTAAACAAGACGAAGCACAAGGGTACATGAATAATGTTGAGGCGGGAAGGGGAAGGGAAGGAGGAGGAGCAGGATGGCAAGGACGAGGCGGTGGACAAAATATAAGGGACCTAGGCGGATAAGGATGATATTAAGAGGGCGGATAAGCATGAATCGAGAGGAAAGAACAAAGGAGGAGAAACGGGAGGACCAGGACAAAACAGATAATGTAATACGAGGAGAAGCCCACCTAGAGCCTTAAGTCCTCCATGTGCACATCCTCCTCATGCTCGTCCGCCTCCTACCCCTACGATTCAACCCGTAAGTCTTTTTCTTTCGGCATCTGACCCAACTGTACGAATACCCACCTCTCAGCACAGATGCCTATGTTGTTCCCCCCGGTTTCTGTTTCGAGCTTCAACTGAGCTTGAGCTCGAACTGTGTCTGGTTGAACCCCCAGAATTTCCGGGCGAAACCGAAAAAGCGTCTCGGTGCATTCTAGACGGCCCAAGCTCGCCCTCCAAACTCCTGGCCACGTTCGCCTTTTCTCATTTCCAATTCAAGCCGTCCGAGAAACAATCCACACCCGAATCCGCTTTCACGCGGAAAGCCAGCACAGAATCGGTCCCTGAACACATTTCCCAGAATGGACCCGACGAGAGCGAAATGGGCGGCATGTGCAAGGAAGGTGGACGCGGAGTGGGGCCAGGGAGGGGGGGGGAGAAGGAACGAGAACAACTGAATCTCACGAAAGACAGCATGGTCGGACTGGTCAACATGTCGTCATTGTGATTATCGTGGTCACAATCATCATCATCATCATCATCATCATCATCATCATCATCATCATCATCATCATCATCATCATCACCATCATCCTCATCCTCATCCTCATCCTCATCCTCATCACCATCACCATCACCATCACCATCACCATCACCATCACCATCACCATCACCATCATCATCATCATCATCATCATCATCATCATCATCATCATCATCATCATCATCATCATCATCATCATCATCATCATCATCATCATCATCATCATCATCATCATCATCATCATCATCATCATCATCATCATCATCATCATCATCATTATCATCGCCGTCGCCGACACCATACATTACAGCTGAAAGTATGATCAGGACAACCACCATTCAAAAAACCAGGGCCAGCTTCCCAGAAGACTCTTAAAACTAGCCTGGGCGAACTTCGGTTCTGAACGCTGGAGAGGCGACAGTGCTCAACAAACTGAGCTAACGCTCGGGCAAATTGGTTCCGAAACGCTGAATGTTTCGGGGTAGGTTCGACTGTACTTCAGAGCATATGCACTGTCCAGCTTCTCGTCCTGTCGTCTTGACAACTCCACCAGTGCTTACAAGCCCCATGCGAGGCGGCCTTAATGTGGGCGAGCATCGTGACTCGCAAGTTTGGCGTTGTCCGGCAGCAGGCGAAGAAGCGGCAGTATCGCTGAGATACGATGTGTTTCAGCATGCGACTGCGTTAGCTCATGATTTGTCTCTAGATTGGTTTCACATGCTCTGCTGGCGCTTCGATACTGAGACGAAGCAAGACGGAGAGGAGGGCGCCATGCCAGAATCAGAAGAGATAGCTTGTAAACAGAAACGCTGACGCGAGCAACATAACCGCATGGGCATATGGAGGACAGCGGAGCACGCTGCCAAGTGCTGTGGCAGGCATCATGGTCGAGGACACGTCGCGGACAGGCCAGATCAAGCCCACGCTCACAGTTGAAACGCAGCCAGCCCACTGGCTGACTGCAAGCACATCAGGCCTGGCACGTCAGGACTGAAAGACTGAAGTCCCACCTGCCATGTGGGCGCAGGTGCTTTAGACAATCAGCTCCTCGAAAACAAACTCAACTGTCATTGCACGCAACGCTCATTTACCAGTCCTCCAAACCTTCGCCCCAGCACTACCCCGCCCCTTGTGGACTGATGGTGGCTTATAGCTTATAGCCACGGGCGAAAATCTTTCTTCGACGGAGCTTGGGATTTCAGGGTTGGACCGGCTCGCGATACCTGTCTGAAGCTCTTTCGGTGTCTGTGAGGGCCATGTTGGAGCCTTTTGGGGGCCTCTTGAATCCTCTGGGGCATTCCTAGGCCCGCTTTGGGGAATGTGGGAAAATCTCGGTTGGGAGGGGCCACCGATTAGAGGGTTCGAGGAAGCGTCGTGGAGCTCTCTTGGGGCTCTCTCGGGGTGATTGTGGGGGGGCTGAGGGCCATCTTGGGGACCTTCTCCTCTAAAGGTTCTGTGGGGCCATCTTGGGTGGGGTGGGGCATCTTCAGGCCTCACAGCAAACTCAGCTGGAACAACTTTGAGAGGTTGAATTGGCCTGTCGGGGTTATCCCTGGAAGGCTCGAAGGCCAAGCAGAGTCACATTAGGTTATCCTAGGGGCTCTGGACATGCTGTAATCCGTCGCCAACATGGCCCATCTGGAGTCCACTTTGAGGCCAGACTTGCCGTATCCTGTCTTGTCGCATGCCTTGCCTTGTCCAAGCTGGGACCGCGGGCAGCCGTGTGCCAACTGGTGCCTCTGAGAGGGGCTGGCCAGCTATGATACCTCCCAGGTGGTTTTTCTTTTCTTGCTTCCACAAGCCTCGAGCAGCATGCTGGCGGCTGCTGTCCTTTTGCTGAGCGGCGGCGGTTGCCAATGCCTGCATGGCCTCGTCTCAAGCACTGGCTTCCGCGGGCAATGGCAAAACAGGTTTTTGTAACATGTCCTGGCCATAGCTATAGCGAATCGTGTATGAAAGGGGGTATCGTGAGGGAGTTGAGCGTCCATGATGGCTCTAAGAGACAACATGGCTCCAGGAAGACACTGAAGTAGTCCCCCAGGCCTTTGAAAGATGCCCCGAGAAGAAACAACCAAAAGCTATTAGGTGCATTTCGTCTTCTCTTTTCGGCTCCCGACGGGCCTCGGAGGCGTCAAGACGATCACCGGAGATGGCCCAAGAGGGCACCAAGAGCGGCACTGAGGGGTTCCAAGAGGGACTCTGGGGAACCCATGGGCATCCCAAGAAAATCCAATGAAAGCCCAAAGATGTAATTTGTCTGACCCCAGGACAGGCCGGGCGAATTTAAAGACCCACTGTTGTTGGCTGATGACCTCCGGAAGGAATGTGCCCCCCCCCCCCCCAAGAGGGCCCTCCAGAAGAAGAGCCCCAAGAGCGTCTCAAGAGACTTCGCGAGGAAGGGTCCCGAGGCAGGGCCTTCAGGCCTGACTTCGCAGCGCCACCGAAAGGCATCCTCTAGCGGACAAAGAACACCACAACATACACTTCCCAGCCGCCCTGGGACAGGCGTCCCCGATGGCAGAACAACTTCCGTAGATCACACAATTCTTCGCTCGCTGTGACGAGGAACTTTTGCTCAGCGTGTCGCCGCAGCTGCCCAAGCGACACACTACGCCTTGCAAGCGGAGACGCAGCGCGTCACTCCGTTTCACGGGCTGGGAGACTGGGGACACATCGCGACAAAAACACTTTGGAATCGAGCAAGTCGTGGCAATCGTGTCGCGCCGAGGCGTGGCGGACCATAGCGGGCGGCGCGACACGCTAACCACACGCTCCTGACCGGAAGTCCCCAGGCTGAGCGCACCGCTTGTGCGGGCGTCCCTGCCAAGTGCCTTGCTGGGGCAGGCGCCCGCGCGAGACCAGAGGCACGACAAAACGACATAAGCTTATTCTGATTGGAGATCCACGCGGACTTCTTGGATCGGCGCTGGGCCCCCCTCCCCGGCGCGCGGAGCGCGCCAGCGGTGGCACGGGAGGCTGCGCCGAGGGGGTCCAAGGCCAGTCCAAGAAAGACGCTTGGACATGGGAGACATTACGTATGTTTTTTTTTTTTGTTTTTGTTTTTTTTGTTTTGCTTATGTGCTTATGTTTGTTCTTTTTTGCTTATGCTTATGCTGCTTTGTGTTCTTCTTGGAGAGAGGCCACGCCTCTAGCCCAAGGGGCTAGAACGCTGCTGGGCTCCCACGCGGCAGTGCGCCTCCCGGTAAAAGGCTTCGGGCTGCGCACGGAAAGTCCCCCCAGGTAGTCCGGGCTGGCCTCAACAGGCCCCCCGGGTAGTTCCAGGTGGCCTCCTCCAGGCCCCCCGAATACGTAGGATGGGTCGGTCTCAACACCTCAACCCTGGGGCGCGGAGCGCCCCCCGGGCGCCGCGGGAGGCGGAGCCAGGGTGTCGAGATCGCCGTGGACTGCTCGGGCGACCTGACCAAACCTCCCCCCCCCGAACGAACGGGGTCCTGCACGGCACGCTGCTCCACGATGACCCGGTGCGTGCTCATCTGGGGCGGCCGGCGTTTCTTCAGCACCGCTATGCTAGCCCCGGCAGGAGGTCAGCATGGAGGAGAGGCACCGCGAGCTCAGCATGGAGGAGGTCAGCACGGAGGTGAGGGCGAGGACGGAGAGGACGAGGAGCAGCAGGAGCAGGAGGCAGAGGCAGCGCGCCGTCTCCGTCGGCTCTCTCCTGGCGCAGCGCAGACCAGCCGGCATAGCCGCAGGACGCCCAACGGCCGTATGATGGACCGTAAGGACTCGTCATCTTGGCTCATCAAAACAGCCGGCACTGAGAGGGACAGGTTTCTCGGTCTTTGCTCGCTGCCTCCGGCCCCCTGGGGGCCGTTCGAGGAGCCCCTGGGGGGACAAAGAGATACCGATGCCGATTCTCCTGGACCTCTACGGGTGTGTGTCCTGAACAGGATGTCTTCTCAGGCGGATCCGGCCTTGGCGACGAGGGCTCTCAGGGACGAGCAGCGGTATCGGCACCTGCTCCTCCTCTGAGCTCCCCAGTGTCGTCCACAGCGAGCCAGCATGGAGAACTGGCCCCAGGGGGAAGCCCCCGGGTTCAGGGCCCGCTTCCGCCAGGGGCCCGTTTCCTCCATGGCGGGGGAAGGAGAGACAGGTGGGCGAGGCAGCCCCTCTGGCAGGAGCCGCATCGGCGCCTGAAACTGCGCCTCCGCCCCTCGGGGGGGCTCCAAAGGTCGCCGGAGCTCTCTGGAGGCTTTCGGAGGTCAAGGGAGTCACGTGGTCGCGAAACGAACTGCAGCATCGTGAGACATCGGGGCCCTAGGCCCGATCTCTCTGCAACATGCTTCGAGCATAGCCGATCTGCGAGGGTCCTGGGGCCCGAAACCAGGCGAAACCGCTGGATGTGAAAAATGCACCCTCAGGATCTCACGGTCCCAGGCATGTTTTTTCAGGACAGGGTCTGCGGAAGTCCCGACCCCTTCCCCAGGGAGAGTTTTTCGTCCCGAGTCGTTTTCAGACGATCTCGGGAAGGGAAGGGCCCCAGGAGGCCCAAAATTTCGAAAAACCTCTATCCTGTTTTTTCTGACGTTGCACGCCTGGGTTCTAGAGGCTCCCAGAGATGGGAAGTCGTCGACAACCTCGGCGTCTTCGTCTGGGAGGCTCGTGGGCGCATCGCTGGTAGTTCCCGTGGCGACGGCCAGGCGCGGTTCGGACGGCTGGCCGGATGGGCCCTGGGAGGGGCATGTTGCATCTTCGTCGGACCTTGTCTGTCACAGATCCGCGTCGAATCCGAGTCGAATACATCCGACATCCGCGTCGAGCACGCATCGAGCCCGCGTCGGGCACCGGAGCAGACACCAATTTTGGGGACAGGCGAGGTCCCCCGAAGAGGCAACGTAGGGAGGGGTCTGTGGATCGGTTTCAAGTGGGTTTGGATCAGGGGTGGCAGAAGCAGGACAACCCCTGAGATCCGGGCCTTGCAATTTTGCACGCTGGGCCCCGGGGCCATCAGGGACCGAGCAGGCCCGAACAAGGCAGGAGAAAGATGGGGTCTAGGGCTCTGGTCATGATCTCTCGCGATGTTGCACTTGTGTTCGTCGGATCTCAAGGGCGAGAGTCGGGACAACACCATGACCTTCCCTGTCCTCGCCCCTCCCTCCTGCCCCTTCCCCTTCTTCTCCCCCGTTCCGTCTCCCCACTTCCGATCATCCCCTCCCGCTTCCCTCTGGAACTGTGTGCTGCGGAGCCGCGTCGGCATCGGCAGTGCTCCTAGCGGAGCCAGGGGGCCAGCTGCTGGCAGACGAAGCGTCCGCGGCTTAGATTTACCCCGAAACGAAACTCAAACAAGTCCTTCGTTCCGTCTCATCCTCCCCCGCCTCTCCTCTCGGATCCCCGTCCTCTTCTCTTCCTGCTCTTGCTCCCCCGACCCCACGTAACACTCATGCAGTGCCAAAGGGCTCCCCTCCCTCAGGAGAGTCGCCGCCTCCTCGATGGGGACGACCGCTCAGGACCCTCGACCCCCCCCCCAGAACCTCCCAAACCTTTCCGTCCCCCTCCTCCGCCTCCTCCGCCTCCTCCTTTGCCTCCTACTCCTCCTCCGCCTCCTCCTTCTCCTCTTCTTC